ATAATTAAGATTGCGTTCACCTCTTGCTTTAAATTGCCAAGCAATATTTAACCAGAGCCTTTGGCCAAGTGCTCCGCAATATATAATTAATTTATGTGAATTCACACCATAACCCGGTAATTAACCGTATGATTCATGGGTTACCAACTTACCGCGGATAAAGCCGAGTAACCCGCTTGTGTGTGAAGAGCATTAGCCAGAGCAGCTAGAAGCAAAAGCGTGTTAGCAACGCTGGAGGAAAAGCTTGTGAAGATTGCAATGAAGTCGCTACCTGGGTGGAGTTTTATTGCACCCGTCGCCTGCCAACCGCCGCCCACCGCCCACGGAAAAGCCCCACCCCCCAGTGGTAATGGCATGAAAAACCGCAGAAAATTGCTGTACATCGGGAGAAAATCCAAGTTAAGCTAAGCTCGTGTAGATGAAACTGGCTTTTTGCACAATGAGATTTATTTATCGTGATTGTGCGCTTAATTGAAAATTGTTTGCGAGCAGCGTTGTACACATGTTCGCATGTGTATGGATACTCGGAAGGAGGGAATCCGAGATGAGATTGTTGGGCGCAACAGGAGTCGCTTCTTGGGGAACGTATATATCACCGTGACCCTACTGCCTAACGGTATTTTTAACACACATTTATTGACACACATTTTAGGGCGGGATCTGCCCATCTCAACTCAACCCATACTCCCCATCTAGATTCTAGACAATTTGTCAACGACATGGCAATGATACAGCAGAAGAAGAAAAGCGACAGCGGGAAAACTGTAGCCAACTGTAGCAAAATGAAAATGTCAGCGGCAGCAAAAACAACACCCCTCAATCCATCGAAATAGTTAAGTGGATACGAGGGGCCCTCTGAATGGAATCCATCAACCGCCCATGGAGCCGCCTGGCATCCAACTGGCAGCCGACCGAAGAAGCCTTTTCAATCACATTACTGAGTGCCGGGCGATGTTGTACTCCAGGCCAAATGGGTTGAGTCGGGTCTCGGGTTTGGAAACCCAGGCAGCTACTTAGCATCCCAACTGGAATAGCAGAAACCTTGCTAGAGGACCGCGCAATAAAGTGAAATATTCTGTGGAGGATTTAAAAAGATAACAGAAGGCATTCGTCACACCTCGGCGATATCGGAGATATTTTTTTACTGTATTTTGCGAGCCAACAGAATTTTACAAATAATTATAAAAGCTAACAAGGAAATATTTATTGCCCTAAAGTTAATTAAAAGGCTTATGTTAATTTAACTTTAAGAATTAGCTAAGAGTTTGCATTCACAACAAAATTATGTGACATTATAAATACATGACTAATAAATTTGAGCCTTAAATATAACTACAATTATTTACTAATTTTAAATATAAATAAAAAATATATTATTTAAAAGAGGGTAACAAGACGAATGTTTTATATTTTTTAATACATTTTTATTGTATTATCTATTTTGATTCCTCTAATACAATATCTCAATATAATCCTAAAGTTAATATATAAAATTCTGAATTGGAAAAGACAGAAAATGAGCATATGTTTTCAGTCACACAACATGGAATCAGCGGCAACTAAATATGCAATGGTATTATATAGAGATCTCAGCCACATACCCCACAAAGCGCCCATCACCACCCCATCCAGAATTAGCTCTCGCTTTCGCTGTTGGTGGTCCAGGAAAATTCCATGAGCAACAAGAATGGAAAGCACTTTGCAGGATAAGCGCCCCGTGGCATCCTCGAAAAGCCCACCCACCCGTTGTTGAATTGATTTTGTTATGTGAAGTGCAGCCCCCCTTACGGTAACGCACAAAATACCAAGGGGCTCTGCCGAATTGTTTTATTTCTGCGTTTGACTTGTTGCGTTTTCCATTTGATTGCTTGGCCGCAAGCTTGAGTTTATGATATGGAAATCAATTTGCTGCTTTACCACAATTAGAGCCAAGATTTTGGGCCTGAATCAGCGGCGTTGCCATCAAGCAAATCCGCAATAAATAATGCTCAGGAAAACAACGAGCGTATAAAAAAATCTTTATAGGCGAGGGCGTGCCCACTACCAAATCGCAGTTAAAAGGAGCCCTTAAAGCTTAAAGCACCAATATTTCGAATACGCACAGTGGGACAAGGGATATTAAAATAACATTATATATTCCAATAGGAACATGGAATTATCATTACAATATATGAAGTAAAACCGCGAATTCGTTAGGAAATTTATTTTTTGTTTAAGAAATTACAACTATGTTAATACTTAAAATATTTAAAAATAAAGTTTTTTATATTATTTATTTTTTTTAAATTAAATTAACATAAAACGTTTTTTTCACTAAAAAATAAAATACTTTCTTTATGAATTTCAAAGCAAAACTGGAACCTTTGTTCCACTATTCTTGACTTCAAAAGCGTAAGCAATGAAACGTGTGAATTTCATGAGCTCGCAGAAATTAAAATGGGTCTCCAATTTAATGACGAATTCTGCAGTGAGTAAAAGAGAGAGAGAGAGAGTGGAAGAAAGGCAGACAGAGGGAGAGAAAATAAAGTTTTATACAAATTTCAGGCAGGAACATTCTTCGTTTTTTCGTGTTTTTCATTTTCCGGTTTTTACCTTTCCGCTGCCGCTGAATCAGTTAACACACCACCTACCCCCTTTTGGTCCCCTCAACGGTTGTCGTCTTTTCTCTGCTTGCGTCAATTACTTAATTTTAATGGCCTTTATTAAGCATACACAAACAAACACACACGGGCAGTCGCCGAGGAGCTCACATGAATATGCACACAGATTGGAAAGTGTAAAACACTCACATTAACAAGCTCATAAACAATCCCTGCAACGTTGTGCGCCCGTTAAAAAACACAGTCAACACAACTCGAGTTTAAGCCACAAGTCGATAGGGAGTAAAGTGGGGTTGTGGGTGAAAAGATGCTGTGCATGTCCCAGGACAAATTAGAGGTAAGAGATACCATAAACAAAAAAATCTTCGTTTTCATAGAAACACAAACATGGATAGCTAAAAACGAATTTTAAAATAACTTTTAACAGTTTTTATAAATGTTTATATTCTAATTAAAAATGTTTATAAAAACAATCCCTTATATTTTTATAACATTTTTGATAAATAGTCCAACTTTATTAACTTCTTAATTGGAAAACCATTTTAAATTTCGAATAATTGAACTAAATTTCTAAATTTATAAAGTTCGAAAAATCGTAAATAGTTTATTCTTTATAGATTACAGAAAATGTATTATATATTTACGAAATACATTTATTGAGTAGTTTTCTAAAATCGATTTTAAGATCATAAATGTTTTTTACGGTTTGTAGAAAATATTAAAAATATGTTTTGAGTTAAAAATAAGTTTCTAATAATAATAATCAAATAAGTTCTCTGATTTTAAAGTTTGTATTAAGTTTAGTTTACAATTTAAATGAGTCTTATTTAACGGCCAAACTTTCGAGTCCCAGACCTGCCACTTAGAAAAAAATATGTTTTCAAAACGAAATGTAATTCTCACCTCAATTTCAACTTCAATTCAATCCAAATCCAAACTGCATTTTTGCCCACAAGAGTTTCTAATTTTTAAAGGGATTTCTTCGACGTCTTGTAATCACACATAAATATAGCGATGTATGAAATTTGTTTGTATATATTCCACTTGTTGCCAACGGCACACGCGTGTGTATTTTACTGTGTGTGTATGTATGTGCTTTCCTTCGTTTTTGTATTTTCTTTTTTTTTTGTTTATAACGCGTCTGCCGACGAGACGCAACAACAAATAAACAAAAGCCGAAGGCGACGACAGCAACAACAACTTTGGCGACAGCGACGCAGGTGTCGCAGACGTGTGACGTTGTTGCTGTAATTTGTTATTGTTTTCATTGTTGGCTGCGATGCGAGTTATCAGAGTTAACGAAGACACCAACACAGGGGCACAAAATGAACATCGTATACGCACAAAACCGTTGAATTATTTCACTCACAAGAAACAAACAGTTTGTTTATAATTTTAAAAACTCCACTTCGGCTGCTTTTGTTTCGGCAAAGCCACTTTCTTTTAGCAATCAAACGTAAAAGCGCAGGTTAATGAACATAGTTAATAATTATGACAAAGTTTCAACAAGACAACACAGATTTCAATTGTTATAAAAAACGTAAAGATTTTTTAAGGTCGGCAAACAACTAAAAGATAGTCAGCTGTTTGGGTATATTTACAAGTTCGTATTATCGGGCTGCCACCCTGATTTTTTACGGAACTGCCAACTTTTTTTTTGCATTCCCACATTTTTTATCATCGATATATTTCATTTTCTTAAATATGTGACGAATCACCCTGTGGGCCTGTTTTGTTCGAGTTTTTTGGCCGCAAAATTTGACAAATATGGCGCACCCTGTGGGCCTGTTTTGTTCGAGTTTTTTGGCGCAAAAGTTGAACTGTTTTGAATTTGAATAAGTCAAATGGGGGATCATAAGAAATTTGTTGTTTATTTGAATGTAAAAGAATTATTAGTCATCAAATAGGTTTATTTTACCTGAAAAGAAAAAAAAAATGTTGATTAATAATGCTCAAACCCATTTTTGGCGTCATGTTCGCAAGGGCTGTGCATAGATCCTTTGTTTTTCTAGGATACTGATATTATTATGTTGTTTTTAAATAAATCAGTAGAATAATATAGCCGAACTGAAAAACTTATACAGTTAATTTATAAACAAAGGCTTTATTCGGCAAAAAAATTAAACAAAATTGATCAACAATATTTAAGTGATTAGCATATTTACATTATAGTATTACCGGATGGTATTATAAAAAGCTTAATCCACCGCCGCTTCCGTCCTACACCACCAGTTGAGTATCTAAAATCATGACAATACAGTAAACTTAAATTAAAAACACATTTTCCGCCTTTTTCTTTCAAATTGGTAATGTTACAAAAACATCGATTGTCGCCAAAAAACATCGATGTTTCTAAAAAATTGTAAAACATCGATGCATCGATGTTTCCATCGATGTTTCTCCACCTCTAATGCTCTTTTTTGTTGCCTTTTGCGGCTGATTTTGTCACTGCCCGTTTATATCGCTTATATCGCCAGTTAAACCCTCCATATATGATATATAGACCAAATCCCAAGTAGCCATGAGTGCCAGCGAGGAGTTCCAGGGCTGGCTAAATGATGAGCTGCGAAAACTGAATACGGACGAGAACGTTTTCGGCTCGTACATCGTGGGAATTTTAGAGGGCGATGAAACAAATGAGGAGAAAACCGAGGCTCTTGAGGGAATTCTCAGCGAAACAGGCGTAAGTATTGGACGGAAAATAGATCACCATCTAATGAACAAACCTATCTCCACTTTGCAGTCCGCCAACATCGACGAACTGGTGGCCACAATTCTCCAAAAGTGGCTCCAAAGTCATCCCAGCGCCGATGATCCGCCCAAAAAAGGTCTCGACATCGACGTAAATGCCCAGTTGGCCAAGTTGCTGGAGCAACAGAAGCTGATACCCGCCGTTAACAAGGAGCGTGAATACACGGAGGAGGAGCGCCGCATCAAGCAGCAGATCCTCGCCCAGTACTCCCAGGTTACTATTCCCAAAATCCCATCCTATTCGGTTGGCACAGCAGTTTTATTGCTTACTTCCGTATTCATTTTGTTGCCCCTTTAGTAGAGACTTTAGGAATATCATTAAAACTGTATTGTTTAGTAACTATAGATTTAATCATCTACAGAGTAAGACAGCAGTTACTTCCCATCCAATCCGGTTTGTACAGCATATTTCTGTATTGAATTTGAGCCCGATGTATGATAGAAGATTTAATGATACTTTATATTATTTAAGCGATATGGTTTAGTTTATAAACCGAAGAAATTAGATCTTATTTAATTGTGCGGAAACTATATTTATAATCATCCATCGAGTTGCAGAGCAGATCCAATATCCTTTATCTTGAGATTTTAAGATTTTCCTAAAAATATAAATGCTATTCTATTGTATAGTAAACAACCATAATCAGATCTTCTGCTAATACTCTCTAGTTACTATATCCAATTTTCTATCCCTTCAGTTAGGCGTGTAATTTCTCTGTAATCCCATGACTAATTTCATATGAATTAATTTAATTGACTGAATATACATAGGTATTTTTTTGAAGCAGAAGAAATCTGTTTAATCTTACTACCCAAAATTTCACAACTTATTCTATTTTTAAAAACTTCTGACTTTAGTTTGTTTTAAGATTTAAACGTTCAGCCAATCGAATAGAATCCTATTATCTGATGATAACAAAATATAACATTCTATCCATTTACAGACTGCTGTTGTGAACCAGGACGATGACGAATCCGAGGACGAAAGCGATGATGAGACTGGAATCCTTTCGAAGAACACCAACAAATCGGATGTGCAGGCTTTGGCGAAGGAGAAGCGAGAGCAGGCCCGAATGGACAGTGCGGCCAAGAAGCAAAAGGACAAGGACGATCGCGAAAAGCAAAAGCAACTGCGCGAGGAGAAGAAGGAGAAGCGCAAGACCGTCAAAGGCGAGAGGCGTCGATAACCGTCCCCAAGTGCAAATTTTAAGTCTCTTACCCCGAAACCAATCTATACAAGTTATATACGCACAAGCTGTTGCATATATACGACTTTTTCATTACAATCGATTAAAATATACAAACTGTGTAAAATGTATTGCAATTGAAACACCAAAAATTTGAATTGATATTTTTCAAGTGTTTTGATTTTTCTTTTGATTTTCTGGTTGTTTCAGGCTCCTTTAATTTACTAGATTAAATTTAAAGTTGTCTTCACATAGCTGTTATAAGGAAATTTGTTGTTTAACGCTAACTTGGCCAACTAGTTTTAATTGCTAAAGAAAATGTTAGTTGTGTGTATATTTAATAGTTGCTTAAGAATCAGCTTCGTCTGGCTTTTCTTCATCCGCCTCCGAAGCGTCGTCTTCTTTGTCCGATGTGGAGGTTTTATCCCTCTCTGATTGCAGTTCCTCGGAGATTTTCTTAACCGCTTCCAAGTCGTGTAGTTTAATGCGTCTATTGTTGGGATCCAAGCAGTTGACTTTGACCTCTATGAAATCGCTAGTTTGTTGATCATCCCAACTGGAATACTAGATAAACAAATAAATTATTAACTTGTTAAAAATAAACCGCTGATAGAACACACTATTGTTTTATACAATGGTAAGTAGAATAAGCTTTTATCAATTTTGCATAATCAATACCTATTATCTATTTTAAGCTGCATTATACAATTTGTTATGTGACAGACTTACCACCGAACTGGAGGTGAAGAGCAGTTCCTCCTCCTCGGAGGCTGACTTAACCCGCAGATACTTCTGGAGCAGATTCGTCTGCTCATCCTTGCGCCACAGACACAAGCGATTGTTCTTCAGCCAGTCGCTTGCCAAGAGATCAGACTTCTTTATCAGCAGTTCCAATTGATTTAGCTTAACGAACTGCTTCTTGGGCGGCAGACTCTGGGGCCTCTTCGATGTGCTGGCCGAGGGAAAGTCGAAGTCGTCGTCGCTGGGATCCGTTTCTAGGTCATCCTCCTCGTCGGACTCCTCGTCGCTCACCTTGGCCATGCGGCGCTTGGCCTTCGAGGCCGTGGCTGCCGCCGATTTCCGCTTCCTGCCGCCATCGGAACCAGATGGCTTCGACGGGCGCTTCTTGGTGGGCCGCCAGTCCTCCTCGGAGTCGGAATCGTCGTCCGGACTGAAGTCCTCCTCGTCGCTCTCCTCGAAAGTGGTGGTCACCAGTTCCGTGCGACTCCGCATCCTGTTGGGAAAATTCTCTATTCCTGGTTGCTCCTGCCTGAAGTTAGACAGACCGCTTAAACTTGCAGCGGCTGCTGCGTCTCAAAGCTGACTGAAAATTTTATTGTTGACTCCGAAAAGCCCATTCCATTGCCCGGAATTATCCTTTGAGGGTTGCGTTGCAGCTCGTCCTCTCTCGGCGTTGAAGCTTTCTCGCCGCAGAGCTTTTCAGTGTTGCATCTTTTATGAGGCAATTCGGAAAAGTTTCGTCTGAAGCAGTCCTGCAATATATCCTTAAAGCTTTTTTCTGATTCCTAACCATGGCAACACATCCTTAAAGCTTTCAACTGAGTCCTACGAGCTTGATCTCTACATTTTCGGAGTCTGTCAAAACTGGGTCAAAGCTTTAATTCTTTATGCATTTATCCGAAACTAAGATAATTATTTTTGTCTAATCAACAGTTGTTATTTTTGGGTTGAGAATACCAATAAATTGTGTATATCAGCGTTCTATTTGGTTTATTTTTTTTTCCGGAATTAAACAAAGTTAATTTTTACCGAGTTTATATAAATTGCTAAGCTTATTAATCAATTAAATTGTTTGTCCGAAATAATAAGGTGATTATTCTCCTCGCGAAGACAATATTTTTTATGAGTAGGTACATTTATTTATTGGGTATACCAAAAATTGAATACTTTCTTCGAGTCGAATCTCGTTCATTTTTATATGAAATACTTACCAATTTAATTTAAAATCCAACAGATAAAACACTGAATTTTTCCCATTTACTCAAAGTATTTATTTCCCATTTAAATTCAAAGTCGTTGCAGTAATAAGAAATAAACTTTAGTTTCTTCTAATGTATATTTTATTTAAACATTTACATAAAGCTGGACATTGGAGCACACACACTAAGAGTACTACTACATAATTATGATTTAATTATTATTTTCTACCTTCGTTGAAGTATTTTCTATGCAAATAATTTCCAAACTTTCCATCAAGTTGACTAATTTACGGCTTATATCATTATTAAACTAGTGGGGAGTATTCAATCCGCCATCGATTTGGATTATTCTTAGACCTTTAGGCGCTATACACGCGTGGGTGTGCCGTATATAGCGCCCGATCCGACTCCGGATCCGAGTCCACCATTATTCCGGCGCTGGGCGAGGGGCGAGGCTGGTTGGGGGGTCGGTCCATTGTTGTTGTTGAGGCGACGTTGCTGACTGTCCGAATAGGCGCGTTCTACAAGTTGGGAAGAGGGTCTCTTTATCTATATCTTTTGGTCCATATATATATCTCCCGATCTTGTCATGCACTATGGAGCCAGTCTGCCCGAGTCTTTGTGTAACATGCACAATTTGGTTTTTGGGAAAGTTTACCACATATTTTCAGATTCTTCTTTAAATTGATAACATGCAAAAATAAAATGGTAAAAATATATATTATAAGAAGGGTTAAAAGGGATGATTTTAATGAAAGATGCGTGATAAGTGGGTTGATGATTTATTTAAAAAAAGGTTGAACAATGAAAATAATACAATTTTATACTAAATGCCATTCAGATGCATCTCTTTTTAGAAGTATATAATCAATTACTAAAATTTTTAACCCTTTTTTTAAGTAAGGTACATATATAAAATTATAAACATGACATTTTAAAAATATACAAAATATAATATAATATCTATAAATTCATTAATCTAATCAAATGAAAAATTTCGTATACCATTAAAAAAACTTATAATTTACTTGGCTAATTTAATTAAAAATATTCAAATAAAAATTTGAAAATACTAAAATTTAAAATATTACATAACTATTGCATTTTATGATCTCAGTCATGCCAAGAATAAAATGTTCCAAAACCAAATGATCCTAAAGCCATCCCATAACCATGCCAGATGAACGATGAGTAATGCAAGCAAACCCGTATAAATCCTCAAACATACCTCGGAACTTGAGACCCTGAGCTTCGTTGATGATGGCCGCCAAGGCGGGATGCTGGTATCGCTCCCGGAAAATGGCCGATCCGTTCATTCGATCCGATCCATTCGTGTTGCCATTCAGGGTTCCCATGTTGCCATTCCCGTTGCCGTGATGCATCATCATCAGCTTGTGCTGCGGCGTATGTTGGGGCGTCAGCGAAGTGGGGGGCGTGGCATTTCCGTTCTTATAGTAGCGATTCTGATTCGGATCGTAGGTGGCCTGCTCTTGGTTCTGATTCAGACGATTGGCCATCTTGATCGAGGCACAGCGATCCTCCTCGTTGTTGCGCATCTTCAGGATGCGCTGATCCTGCACCGAATATCTCGATCCATGCAGGGAATTCAGCTGATTGAGATTGCTGACCTGGCTGCTCAGTTTCTTGGCCCGAAAACTGCCACCTGGCGAGGAATTGTTGAGCAGAGTTCCCCGCGAGGAACTACCATTTGTTTCGGTGCTGTCCCTGCTCGCCTCCCGATAACTCGAGGGGCGGTGCGTCGAAGGGGGCGTGTCTAGGCCACTATCATGGGCCGAACAGTCCAGTTCGTTTTTGGCCAGGCCGATGCTGCTGCCACCGCCAGTGGGTAACATGGGTTGGACTAAAAGAAGGGAAAAAAATGTATAAATTATAATATTCAAATAAAAATAATATTTTGAGAAAACCCACCTGAGTGCCTCATATCAGTGGGCGCCCTGGGCTTCCGATACAGCCAATCTCGGTCCAGTTCGTTGCCATTATCTGGCGTAGCGCTCACTCCCCGGAAAAGTCTAGGTCTCCTAAGCTGCACCTCCGCCTCCTCGGTCTCCTCATCTACCACCTGGTTAGAGCCAAAGCTGCTGTTGATGAAGATCCTCCTGGGCGATCCATAGAGCGCACCCGCCTGGGTGAAACTATTCTGGGCCGAGACATAGCCATTCGAATAGCGACTGAGATTCGCATTGCTGTGGTGCGGGATCTTCTGCGGCGTCGAGTGGTTCGTGCTGATGCCGCTCAAGTGGTGATTGTGGTTCTCGTTATTCAGGGCACTCAGATCCGGAACCGAGTCGGAGAAGAGGAAGGGATTGGCACCGGCATAGCCGTTCAGGCTGCCAGCTCCGATCTTGTGACGCGCCAGGCCGCCCGTTCCATTGGTCATTAGCCAATCGTCCAGGGCACTCGAGTAAGTGCCTCCCAGTCCAAAGTGCTGGAACTGCAGCGAGGCGTGCGAAACGGGAGCAGCCAACGAGGCTCGGGATCTGGGTCCTTGGGCGATCTTCAGGGCTCGTCTTCGCTCCTTGGAGGTCATGGTGCATTCCTGAGATAAAGGGAAAACGTTTGGTTTTAGTGGAATGATAAATATTTGTATTTTATAATTTATTTTAATTTATAAAAATTTTACACCAAATTTCATAAATTTCATGAAATTAAATATGGTTGGTAAACGGATCAATCAAATTTTAAAATGGTTTTAAAATGAATCTATATGGTTTGGGCCCTTATAATAATTACATAGTTTACTTTTACATGTGGTATCAAAAGTGTAAAGGAAATAAGAGATTTTTTGAGGAAATTTTGTAGAGCACTACGGAATCTTAAATGTAAAGAAAAAAAGGTATTTTTGAGGACATTTTGTAGAACACTGCGGGATTTTAAATGTTTGAACTCAATATTAAACTTTCTTTCACTTCAATAGCGGTGAATATAATTTTATTTTTAGTTTTGATTATTTTCTATAATTTGTTTGTTTTTCCAATTTTTGATAGTACAGATAATATAAAGGTTTTCTCAACCCTACTTTTAAGTAATTACCTAACATCCTAAATTATATTGTAAAATAGCTAAAACTTCGTTGCCAAGACTTTACTTAACCAGATTTGTTTTCATTAAATTCTAATTCTTGGCCAGTTTTCAAACTCGCTTTATAAGTTATTTTTTTTCTTAATTCCAAGGCAACTTACCTCCAGCAGCTCGAACCAGTCCTCGAGGCCATCATCGCAGCGTAGGAGAACGCGACCCTCGCGACCCAGTAGCAGTCCAATGGCGCTGTAGGATCGTCGATTCAGCCACTCCACCTTTTCCACATCCACCAGCTTGACCTGAAGCGAAACCACAGAAGACAATGCCAACCGTTAGACAATCAAGTTAAAGGTTATGTAAACGTTTTTCCGCCGAATGTAAAACAAAAAGATTTACCCGGGTCACACTCAGTGGGGCGCTGAGAGAATGGTTTACAATTGTTTGAGGTTGTAAGGGGATTGTTGGATGGATGGGAATGGGGTTCAAAGTTTCGAAGTTCAGTGGGATTAATAAATGGCTAATGACTGAGGTAAGCCGGAAAATTAATAATTATGTAAGGAAACCCTTGAATAATATTTTGTTTTCATTTTAAGAACTAGCATTTACTAATTTTAATGGTGTACATTTTTGGTTAAACTCTATTGGGAATATAAAAATAGTATATATATTGCCAGTTCGCAAACAGAGTAAAATAAATGACTAAAGAAAATGTTTGAGTACCAACTTAGGTTGCAACAACTTTTGCTGAATAATGCTCCAATTAAGTGTCAGCCCTTTACTTTGGCCTGCTTCCTTTTCATTTTGCAACTCGGTTAAAAGTCATTAGGCCAGAAGGTCCCATCTCCGCTCCCCCAACTCTATTTAACTCCATGCTTTCCCCATAGGAACCGCAAACTTTTTAGCAAGCTCAACTTTTTATTGAACTTCTTTTTTTTTATTTGCTTGCTTGCAGCCCTTGTTTATGAGTAAAACTTTAACTTTGCCACCGATTCATCGTTCGTGTCGCTCGCTTATGGCCAAGAACTATGCGAGGCCATTAGGCAAATATGTCAGCAGGCCCAGAAACAGGGGAAAAATCAAGAAGCTGGGGCCGAGGCATTGGTAGCAACCGCGTGTGGCAATTAGCCAAGTTATGCGGCCCCTCTAAGTTTGCCTCTTTCTTTCTTTATTTATTTCAACCATCGGTTCCATCTCTCTTCTTCTAATGGCCAACATAATTAAGTTCTTAAAGTACTGGGGGCAGTGTTTTTTTTCTGACCGTTTTTTTATGTTAAATCGTGACTGCAGCAGATGGAACATGGTACCAACCGATTCCTCATCGTTTGTTAAATGATTTAGTAGATTTGTTTGTGCCACGATCAAAGATCAAAAATCGGAACTCTCTTGGGAGTCGCACATGCATAAGTGTTTTGTGTGGGTGGTGACATGCAAGAAATACATCAAATTAAAATATTTATGATATTCTTGGTTGATCCCCAGAAATGATGTCAAATCTCTTATGTAGATCGTTTAGTAAAGTCTTTAAATACAAAGTTTTTATAAATAAAACTTAGTGTTGAGTTTGGTGTGTTGCCTAATATTCTTTTCCGAAAATTATACACATTAGACTTAACTCAGTATTATTATGTTTCCGTTAGTTTGAAAAACTTTTAAATGTTGCCCATTCTTTTTGACCTTTATTTTCCCTGCCCAAAACTCTGACCTCTCTCTTTCGTAATATGTGCCAACCCACAAACGATGGCTAAATATTTTCCAAATTTCCGCTCTACGTTTTGTTAACAAATAATGTGCTCAAGGTCGATATTGATCGGCTTGTTTGGCCCGCCTGTTATTATTTATTATTGTTATTTATGAGTTTTATGAACAAATTCCATTGTTGTTGCTGTCGCTGTATATTTTGACATGTTTAATAGCATGAGCTGTCAAAACTAACACAAAAGCTCAACTGGTCATTGGTTCGGATTTTGGCATTGCAATTTGGGAAAGTCAAATTGAATTTAGGCGCGTGCGGATTTAAAGTCTTAAACATACAAAATACGACAATGATATTCCCATTCCTTAAGACTTTAAGTAGATGCTTTACCTTTATTTTCCGTTCATTAAAATATTGATTTTCTTTCATTATTTTCTTTTCTATCAACTTTTAATTATGCGTGCGTGCATTTTGCACATAATTAAACGCTTCAGCATCGATATCAGAGTCTCTTCAGTGCAACCCAATTAATAATGCTCATTAACGTTGAACAGACGGAAATTGCATTTCCCCACAGGCGCAGGACCCTCCCCCGCCCCTTTTTTCACATTATCCACTTGCCGCCCACCCAAGGACAAAAATCAATATTGCTTTCAATCACTGTCAAAGTGCAAAACTGCAAAATTCTGAGGCGGAAAACTTTGCCCAACCCGCAGGCAGGTGAACCAAAGCATCAACATCGAAACCATCCCATACAATTTTCCATCCCCCCTCGCACTTTCATCACCTGTAATTATGCCCGATTGATTTCCCCCAGGTAGATGCCAGACAATCAGACCAATTTTGTTCCAACACTCTTACTACATTTGCCAGATGGAATCTCTAATTGAGTATATGACATTTAGGACCATTTTCTCGTCCAACTGTTAAGTTTAACGAAGCCTCGTTTAAATTTAACAGGGGACGAGAAAACAACTTTACAATTCGAAGTAATATTTTCATGTGGCTCCAAGGGTTAATATAATATTTTAACATTTAGGTCTTGGGTTTTAAACTTATTTTAGCTGAACAGAATACATACTCAATTTAATATATTAGGTTCTAGTATCTCTTTAAGAAAATTGCTTGGAAAATTGTCTTAAAATCCAATTAAATAATTAGACGGAAACCTAATTGATTGAGATGATTACATTGACGAGGCAATATTGAATCATTGTTGTGCCAGTAAAACATCAATGAACAAGCGAAATCACAAAGAAGCGATAAAATAAGATGACGCCTTCCTGGCTCATTAATGAGTCAAATATTTTCAGATATTCCCCATCTCTTTCACACCCGCCCAGTGCCTCCCTCTCACACCTTTTTGTTCAATGACTCGTTCATGGCTGACTTCCCCGGGTTCGCGTCTTGGCTGCTCAAGTGTGGGTGGGTGGCTGTCTTTGATGTGTTTTGTTGACCATTTTTGGTTGAATTTATTTGGTCTTCAATTTGAAGGTCAGTCGCGTGTTTAAGTGCTTTAATTTTCGGGAAAATAGATTAATATCGCGTATAATTCTTGGATAGAATTTTCTAATGAAATCCTCAATTTTCTGAAACGAATTACCTAATATTTTCCTAGCCTAACGAATTCTTCTCGTAATTTCTTTATAAATGTTTTCCCTCACATTAAATAAGTTAATCTCCCGCATGGTGCGGGATTTTTCACCATTTAGTTCCACCTATGTCATTATTTTCCCCCGTGTTTTCCCGTTTTCCCATTTCCCTCGCCACTCTTGCTTATTTACTTTGGAAAATTGCCCGCACAACAACGGAGCGTTTTTCACTTTGTTTTATTTGCGAGAAAAAAATGTATTTTAATTTTAAATTAAACTGTAAACAACAACAACCTGCTGCTGCTGGCTGTGTGTATTGACACTGCTTTTAAGAGAGAGATTTTAGCAGAAAAGTGCCAACAAAAAGAAAAACGACAGAAATTTAAAACAAAATAAAATTAAATTCAACGGGGGCAACAAAAAAACGTCAAAGTAATTTTCCCATGATCTCTTTGCAGTGGCGTGGCATTTGTTGTTTTCGGTGTTATTGCTACTGCAGTTTTTATGTGCATTTTCCTTATTTGTTTTAATAGCAACAACAACACATAGCAGCATCTGAGGTAATGAACAATTTCACGGCAATCGTGTATTTAATACACTTACTAAACATTTACTACATTTCGTATACGAAAGCAAATAAATGGAAATAGTTAAATTTGTTTAAGCTATTAAACTTTTACTGAATTTATAAAATTTTTTTATTAAGGTAATTTACAATACTAACTTTTATGGAAACAAATTGGCACTGGAAACTAAAGTCCTTCGGAAAATTTATAATTTAAAAACCAATTTATTTACAGTTTTTTTACCGAATATGTAGCTTAAAAATTCTCATTCAAAGGTTTTTACTGAATCATTTTTCCAAAGAGTGTTTATATTTCGACTTTTCGCGATAGCCATTTTCCTGTTTTTGTTTTTCACAGTTTTTGTTGTTATTGCAAATGTTCCTGTTTGTGTGTTTGTTGTTGCCAGTGTGCAATATTTGCCCGTTTGCCTTTAGTATTCCTCGTATTTGCTTTGTTTTCATCGCAAAAGTTGTGCGGAGTGAGTTAAGGAGAGGCACTCTGAATGGGGGAACCCCCAAGATGCGGGAGGGGCGGATAGTTAGGCAAATTAACATGCAGCAGATGCAAGTTTTAGCCAATTAGTTGAGCTTAGTTGAAGTTTTTCTTTGCATTTGTATTCCCCCTCCGATCAGGATTTGTTTGGGAAAAATAACAAAAAAAGTTGTACGGATTTCAACCGAAGATTGCCTATCAATTGAGTCCCCTACATGGGCGGATATCTCTCATCCATCTGACTGAAAAGTCAATTGCAAAACGTGACCAGATGTGTCTGGCATTGTCAACCGAAAAAGACTTCATTTATAAAGCATTTTATATTTTTTTTTCTTCGCACTATAGGTGTGTCCTAGCCCCCTCTATAAAGCACCTTCACCGCGAACGGGTTATATTCATGGGTTGCTCATAATGCTGGGCATAAATCTCTCGCTGCCTGCAATAGAATTTAGCACAATGCGCAGTAAATACAAAAGTTTGCTTGACACGTTAGTGGAGGAGGAGGGACGTTCATAAAGGTGATATAAGGGCTAAGTGAGTATGGACTCAAAACTTTATAAGGAACTTGGGTTTGTAAATCTTGAAGTACCACTTTTTTTTTTTTAGATTTTTCTAAAGTTTGTAGCCACACTTACCTTGAAGATAAACTGTCCCATATCCGAGGCACGTTCGTTGGCCGATCCCGAGGCTCTCTTGAAGCAGTGCAAGTAGTCACGAGTGAGCACAAAGTATCTGCAAGAAGAGATTGGCTTTAGTCAGGGCAAAGTGACCTTTAAATGTGTATCTGACGGCAGTCTTCAGTTAAAGGTCAGACACTCAAAATCAAAAGCCGGCATCATCAAGTTGAGCTTTAAATGTACTTAGTATATATGTATATTGCCAAATAATATGGCAGCCCTTCCCAAAAGATGGCATTTGGATATGCTATTAATAAATAATAAATAAATAAATCATGCGCATGAAAAAAAACCTCTGCTCCGAATTGAGCTGAAAAATGCTCGAAATTTTATGACTTCCTCTAGAGGATGATAATAATATTATTTTTGAATTTTACTGTTTTGCAGCAATGGAAATCGGCTTTATTAATGTGCCAAGCTTTTTTCTGGTTCACATAAATTTCACATTTATTTATTATGTATGAAGCGATTGAAGCAAAAATGTTCTCAAGCTTAACGAAAATGTTGAATGTTTTGGTTGGATTTCGAATCGACTAATAGCTCACTTCCTCTGTGGAAGTTCTCATTTTGTTTTCGCTTATTAACGTGGTCAAGTAAATTGAGCTGAAGAAGAGGTAGTAAATGATTTGCTGTTTACTCGGTTTTCTTCGGTGGGTGGTTTTATAGAAGAAGGAGGGGATTTCCCTTGATAAATTGTCTGCTACGGATAATAATCGGTTCAGTTATTAGTTAAGCTTGGTAAACGATGATGGCATGCAATAAAATTATTGGTGCGAAGAGCTAAGCCAAACAATTTAGTTAAACTAAATTTAATCTAAGCTTATCCAGTTTATTTGACTAATTTATGTACTTTTTCGTATTTTGATAAAATCAATTAGCCAAATAAATAGTTTCCAAATTTTTACCAATTATTTTCTATGCCAATCAAGTAGCAATTCCGTTTTTAAAATTAATTAATTATGTTGGCCATGTTTACGGAAATCTCAATATTTAATAAATTGTATTTAGCTTATTGCAAAATTCAAATCAAATATTGATCATCGAAATACCGGGCTTAGTTGGTCATTAAGTGTCAATTTAAAACGTGCGGATAAATGATAAGCGATGAACGTAATTATCGGTTCAAAGGGCAACAGCCGAAAGTCAAACAAAAACACCGAATTACATTGCAACATAATTAAATTTCAATTAAATGCAGCAGGGAAAAGCGAAAACAAAAGAGCTGTCAGTCGTTGGGCCCCCGGATTTCAGAGCCCCCCTTCACGAATCCCTATTAGCATTATCTGGAAAACGGACGAGCCAGCATGCAGCCACTGTCAATTATGCCCTTTTTCGCAATTAACAACCCTTGGAGGTTGTGAAATATATTTTTGCATATTTTGCGGGGATGTGAGGGGGCGCTCATGTCTGGTCTTTCAGCCAATGCAGATTGCGGTGGAGGTAAATTTAAAAGCGCTTAACATTTATTCAGCTTCCCCACTCAAGTGCACCGGAGAAAAAGGCCATCAACTATGCAATCCATTCATTAAAATATCTTTATCAATATGTATTTTTAATGAACATTCAAAGTGTTACTAAAGGCAAGAGATATTTTTTCAAAAATACCTAAATAATACAAAAAAACATAAAAAGTGTAAAAAAAAAAATGTTTTTTATTTTTTTTTTTTTTTGGGAATTTTATCTAATACTATTCTTTATTTTTCAGAGATTAACAGTACAATCCACCCAAGTTTTTATAAATAAATTAAATATAATTAATTTAAATATAATTTATTTCCAGTGTACTCACCGTTCCTTCCAGCGCGAGAAGAGGCGATCCCTTTGCTGCCAGAGCAGTCCTCGTTTAATGGGTCCTGTCATGGAGGCCACCGGAATGCGTCCTGCCAGCAAGGATTGCTGCAAAAGGGCGAGAGTGAGAAAAGCGGGAAATTGTTGCTGATTGTGCATTCTTCAAATTTAATTATGGGAATATTTGTGTGCATGTAGTTAACGCACTTCTATGCCTCAGCTGTTTTGCTCGTAAATTCTTTTATAAATTATTAAAAAGCCCGGCATGAAAAAGCCAATTTCCCACATACTAGACAGGAGCGGAGTCGAGGAGAAAGCGGTAGGGAGAAAGCGAGGCACTCTCGTGAGCTCATGATTAATGTTGCTTTAAAAACGCTGCCACTTGCGCCACTTTTCAACCCCAAACGCCCTCTGGCCCCTCTGCCTCATCCACGCCCACCACCCTCCGCCCACCGCCTCCCCATATATTCCCGTTCTCGACTTGTAGCATTACTCTGCCATAAATTCTGTTTGTTGCCGTGCGGTTTGTTGTTTTGGCTTTATGAGCATTAAGGCAATTTATTATCAACCATAGTGTTACAATATTTTACATTAACAAATGTTGCCCAACGTGTCCTGGTTTATTCAGTGTAATTATCTTGTATCCGTATCTGAATGTGATTTTGCGGTTGCCGATTAAATCAGCTATTAAAAAAGGTAATCAGTGATCGATGTTGATTTGGATATGAGAAGAAATAATAGTAAGATAAATCGACCACCCACAGATATTATTACTATTTAATAAAATGTATCAACAATTTTATGATCTCTTTCGATTCAATAAAAAATCAAAGATTTAAATGATTTGCCCAATTCGATTTAATAACTCAATTTGAACTTTATTCATCGACCCCTTTGGCAAATTATCAGCTTTTGTCTCCAATGAAAAATGTCAAACATTTTTGGAATCATAAAATCAGGCAATCCACTATGGGCAAAAAATTCGAAAGTGAGGCATTTTTAAATTTTTTTGTTCTTCAGTATTACATAAATGACCTTCTGTGGTTATTTACAATACTTAAAGGAACCTAAAATCCATTTTCAAAGAATTTTATTTGGCGTTTTTCGCTATTTTTTCCCTTAAGAAATTCGAAAGTTTGAAATAGGGTCACACGTTTACAAAAAGGGACGAAAAACTTTGTAGTTTTCACACCTCGATTTCTTTGGTTATTGTAAGCCAACCAAAAAGTTTAAATATGGATACAAAGAGTGAAGGATTGTTAAATAAATTATAAACACTGAATGTTTATTATATGTGCTTTTTGTCCATTTGTTTGATGAGTTGTCGCTTAGTTTTTAGATGACAAATAAGAAATGTATTTTTGCTTTCTGTGGAGTGTAAGATGTGAGTATAGGAGAGTATAGGCAAGGTAAAAATAGGAAGTTATAAACAAAACAATTGCTAATCGAACCCTATCAATACTTTTTGCACGTTTTTGCACGTTATACGTAAAACCTCCATGTTGTAGTTGCATTCGAGTTCTGTCACTACACATTGCTTAATGTTTGTATCGGCAACAACCGGCAACAAACCGCTGTGATGGAATTTGTTTTGCAAACTATGAACGGAATCGAATTAAGCGATAGTCAGCACACAATAGTCAAAATGAAAATTAAGCAGATTGTTGCCTTTTTTAGTCGTAATTTGCCAAAATGTCATAGAATAATAGACCGATTCAAGGAAGAACATTTCCTGCGGCTTTCGTCGAACATGAAAATTTCATTTTTGGAAAAGGGCTTGCCAAGCGACAAACCTGGTCGCAAATGCCTAACTTCTAATGAGGCAGGACCACGATTAAAGCGTAAGGTGGCATCTCAATCGGCGAAAGAAAAAGAAAATTCGATGCCATTAATTTGGCATGGTGCTTCTTTTTGGCAAAAAATATCAAACAAGAAGATACTTCAGTTTTGTTGCGAAAGGCGTTAAATATGAAATATTTATTAACAAATTCATCCTTGCCTTTAAAAGTAAAAATTCGGCGTTGGCGTTTGATGGAGACTTGGTTTAATTCAAAATTTAACAAAAAATTGTATTACAGTTACCAACACAAACTACATTTTCTTTAAATCCTTGCCTTCAAATGTATATCTGCGGCGTGGGCGTAGGATGAAGATGTGGTCCGATTCAAAAAGCAACAAAAACCGAAATTACATCTTAGCCTTAAAAGTATATAACAAAAATTTTAGATTTGTATCTTTAAAACTGGAGTTTATGCCTCAAGGACTGAATATTTGCCCATAGTGCAATCCAAATCTGAAACGAATTGATTCGAAATGAGATGCTCAAAATGCCAAAGGCAAAAGCCACTGACGAAACAAAACAATAAACGAGAAAATCTATCAAAATGCTAACGGGTCGTTTTATTTGCGAATTGACAAAAGCGTGAAGCCAAAATCGAATTATAATTGAGACTGAAAAGAGAGTCGACTGAATTTGGGAAGCTACAAAGTAGCAGAAACAATTTCTACCGAAATCTGGCAAATACCCGAAACGAGGCAATAAATCTTTTGGGCGCTGAAATTGAAGATACTTTTCTTGTTTTATCTTCTCAGAGCCATCTATCCTATAAATGGAATGAAGTTCTTAGCCAGTTCTGGTCAAATTAATGTTAGTCACGAGCTACGACGGGCAGACAAAAGCCAACTTTACGCTCAATATGGTCAAGAGGGAAGCCGAAGAGGCTGAAATGGCGGAAACCGAGGCAATGGAAAGAAAAGAGTTTGTGCGGATAATTCCCAGCAAAAGGGAGGAGAAGGTCTACAAAAAACTCGGATGAAACTTAATTTGGCGCATTAAAAACTATTGTGCTCTCCGGAATGCCAAGGAAAGAGACCGAGTGATGCTGCGAAAAAGAGAAAGGACGAAACGTGCTGCAGCCATTGCAGTTAATGAGCAAAATGAGTTTGCTTTTGCCTTTTCGCAATTGGGCCGCCAATTTTCTAGGTTTTTTCTTTTATTTAGCTGTGGGCGAAAATTACGAGAAATACAGTCTGCTTTTTTGGCTTTATTTGACCGAAATAAATAGAATTGTGTGTCAAATCAATGGTGGAAAAAATAAGATAAATAACGATGCTAGATTAAATTAAATTATACATCTGCGAAACTAGCCATATTTCAGGGTGGTTTTCTAGAATTGAAAACTGGATAAATCTGGACATTTTTATTGTTCTGAGAAGCTACCTTCAGACATTATCTTCTGGCTCAGCTACCTATTTGCTTTTGTACTATTAAAGATAAATTATCATATCTTATCGTTCCTTAAACACTTATTTAAATAAAAATGTATTTTTAATTAGCAAACAAAGGTGTTTATTGAACACACAATTGAACAGACAAAGAGTTCAACTTAAGCTGAGAACAAAACTTTAAAAGTCAGAAAAAGGCATTGTTTTTGACCCTTTTTTCAGATTTCCTGGCTTGAAAAAGATTTGGGATTTATTGTGCAACTTTCAAGTGATTACATAACCCACATGACTTCAATGTCTTAATGCCCTCATTTTCATTGCATTTCATGTCATTTTTTCGTGTGTGAAAACTTTAGCAGTTGCAGAAATTATTTATACTTCGGGCTTTACTGTTTTTTGCCGCCAAAGCTGGCAGACAGTAGTAAAAAATATTTTTCTGGTATTTCTTTTTTATTGCACTCAACTGGGCTTATATAATTACCCGTCCAGGTTTGGTCTGCCTGGCGCCCCTTTTATGGTGGCTTTTAATTGAAGTTGCACCGGTTGAGGATGAGGACTGAAAATCTTCGCCACACATCGTCATTTTGATGGATTCACACCCAGTTTTTGTAAATTTTACGTACACCGAAACGCCAACACAGAACCTGCAGCCTCTTCAAACAATTATAAATTTATACGTGTTCACTTTGATTTCCGCTCACCAAACCCAAATGTGTCATCACCAACAACATTGGTTAACTAAAACACATAATATATTGGGAATCTATTTAAATAATTTATAGTAGAGAAATTCTTAAGAATTTCCCATTCTGAAATCCGCCAATTTCCATGCGGAATCTTAAAATCTCATCGGTACTTTGATTTATACGAGCGTATTCCATAATTATATGCTTTATTTCCGTTGGCCCCAAAACCTGCCAATGGGGACAACAAAATTGTTGAATGAACACAGCTACGTTTTGGGAATAAAATTTACATGGTCAAAACGTGATAAAAATAAAAATTGAATTCTATATTTTGTGTACTAAAAAATGTTTAATTTCGGTAGATCTTCTTTGTCTATGTTGTTAATGGTGTTTATGAAAAGCTTATATGGAATAAGTCACTGATAAATTAACTTTTTATTTATTATTAATAAGTTATAAATAAATAAGAATAAATGTTGTTTGTGCAATAAATCCTTGAATTTGTTTTCCAAATATAATAAATAAGTATTATTATTGAATCAGGCTATGAAAATTAATTGTATTTATTTCAAGTATAAAATATAAAACATGAAAGTGCTCACGTGTAATCTTTAATCTTTTCTCCTTCCGTTATTTATATTAAAGTATGCCACCAATATCATGAATACACAAGGCGGCTCTTTAAAACAATTACAGCATTAAGAGTCAGCCGTTGAGTCAATGACTTTTATAACAAAAAACTTTTTTAATTTAATTATGCACACGCATCCACAGACCCACAAACTACGTTCAGTGTTGGCGGGTTCAGTGAAAAGAACACACAAAGTGAAAATTTGTGCAACAGCTGGAAATGTGGGGGAAGTTAGGCCCGACCCGGCAAAGAAAAAGGAAAATCAGATGGCATATGAAAAGGTGGGCCAGGAGTTGGTTTTTATTTAATAAATATTTTTCTCTTTTGCCAGTTGAGAGCACAGCAAGTATTTATGACTCTGGTTGGATGAGTTAACATCAAAAGGCAAACCTAAAAAAAAAAGACTGAAGAAAAACAATGGTCCGTTTCTTTTTTTTGTGAATGTTAAGCAAAAGTCAAATATAATCCGCAAATGAAAATGAAATTCAATTTGCCAACAAGTCATGTCGAAACAACAATTGGAAAAGGCAACGAAAAAAATGGAAAATGTTCGACGTTCAAATGTT